GTTTTTAAATAACTTCGGTAAGCTTTATTCAGTTATCACTTTTCCTGTCTAAACTAAACCCTAATTCCGGCATATATAAAGCATACCTAGGAGTTGATCGAGAAGATTAAAGTTAGATAATTAAAATGTCAAAAGGTCTCAAAAAAGTTGTTCAGATAAGTTTTTCAATGTGGTTGTAAAACAGCGTTTTGAAATAACCCTTCATAATTTTTAATTAAACTTTGTAAAAACTGAAATACCAAATTGAAAATATCGGTGTGTGTATTTGTACAGTTTTTCTTCACACTCGCTTAGTATCATAAAACTCACTCGTTCGAAGATTCCTTCGATCATTTTATGATACTTCATAACTGAAGAAATAGAAAACGCGCGCGTGTGCTGTATGCAGTTGTAATGCGCGCGGTGRTTGGCAGAACACGAGARAAGCGTTAGGAGAAGCAMGACACTAGATATGTCATTACTTWWYACGGATCTAATATTTTATCAATTAATATTGGGTAATACTGGTTTTGAYAAAATTGCAGGATAGTCTTGGTGGGCATTTCCTGTCTTGTCTATCAGATGAATCGCAAGCTTCTTCAATTCTTACTGTCTAACTCACGGCACATGGTGGTCAAAGTCTATCCACTATTTGCAGCAGATAATGAGATTCAAAGACTTTTATATCAGCTTTATTACTGGCTTGAAGCCACAATCAATCCGTAGTCCAATCCATAAGCGATGTTAACGAAGTATTTTTTTTTTTTACATTCCAGACATACGATGCACGAGACTATGATACTCGAGCTGTCACATCAATCACCTATATTTCACTTATCATGATTGGSTCGTTTTTGATGTTGAATTTAGTTCTTGGTGTTCTAAGCGGGTAAGTGGCTACATATTTAAAACGGCATTTGCCGTTATAAGCTTGAGCTATCGCGTTAAGGAGTGTCTAGTAAGCAGACAATATAAGGAATGATGGGGTTTGAAAGTAACAACAATAATTCCAGTCCGAGGTGTGGTCGAGGACTGGAGATAAATGTACTTTAAAATTTGCCTTCGGTCCGAATTTGAGGCTTTGAAATGATATTGAATGTGTATTAACTATTCGGGAGTAATTTTTTTTAACTAAAACATTTTTGTTATCATCAATTTTTGTATAAACTATTAAACGTAGCCGGGGAAGGTTTTGAATTCAACAGGGAAGAGCAAGGGCCGAAGTCAAGAAAAAAGAAGGCTTTGCGATTCAACCGATGTTTCAAAATGTTAATTATTATTATCATCCTCCTCCTTCTCCTCCTCTTCCTCTTCCTCCTCCTCCTCCTCCTTCTCTCCCTCCTTCTCCTTCTCCTCCTTCTCCTCCTCCTCCTCCTCCTCTTCCTCCTCCTCCTCATCATCTTCGATATCATCATCTCCTCCTCCTCATCATCTTCGATATCATCATCTCATCATCATCATCATTATTATCTTATTGGTAACCCCATAGGGTCTGGGAAAAAATTCGTGCAAGATGAAACTACAGAACTACTTCCTTTTAGAATATAACTTTTACCGTGCMCTGGAACAAGTTTGCAATCAACGACTTTATAATTGATTTTCAGTGGTTTGTGCTTAAGGAATCAATAAGCCACTCTAGCTTGGGCGTAATGTTTGCCCACTTCAGACCAYACACATAATTCCCTTGAGAATAAGATTCTTTTTCCCTTGGTTGATTCTACTGCATGGTCTAGTCGTGTTTCATGGGTTATGCAAAGCTTTCCCCGATCCTCCGAACTTGAAAATATTTTAAGTCCGGCGGACTGTGGAAGAGAAAGGCAGTCGGCCACCCAGGGAGTACGTTCATGTGTTCCAAGACTGGTAAGTGGCTGGCCAAGTCGTGACTAATTGACGATTATTTGAAGAAAAAACTCCATTATTACAATTATTTTCAATATTTAGAGAAACCGATAAATGCTTTTTAAATGTCAAAAATATAAAAGGCAAAAACAACGAATTTCATCAGGCAGCTCGCAATTACCGAATGTGTGTCATGTCTGAAAGCTACTATGAATAAATCTTGTCAGCGTCTGAAATGACAAGGAAGCGCCCAAACTAACTCAATCTGTTTATTATGAGTTCTAAKTGCAATTCCTACAATTACCAGAGAATTTGCTAAAGAAAGAGAACGTGTAGAACACAGGAGGAAATTTTTCAAGTTAAGACGACAGCAGCAGATGGAAAGAGACTTATCAGGATACTTGGAATGGATAGCTAAAGCTGAAGATATTATTCTTARAGAGGAAAGAGAACAACATGGGGTAGGAGAGGGTAGGTAACGTCTCCATTATTTGTTGCAACGTTATATTTTATTAACTGTTGAGAGTTTAAAGCATAATTCAAGGAAAATGCAGCAGTGTATTATATCATCACAGTAAAAACATTCTGAATATAATGTAAGACATAAACAATTTTCGCTCAACCTGTGTGATGCCATGTAAGCCTTCGCGGAAGGAAATGGAAGGGCAATTCTCTCTAGATTATAATGATGCAACCAATAAATGTTATTAAATATTGACAAACAAGATTTCCCTTCAAAACAAATCGATAATCTCTTTAACTGCAAGCCTCGCATGCGAATCTACTGTTAACACTCAGATATGACATGATTTCGTTTCAGGTGGACCGAGAGATCCTTTAAAGAAGCGATAYAGTCTTTCCGATTCTATCATGCACTTAATAGAAGACCACGGAGAAATTATACAACATTTAAAAAATAAGAAAAAGACACAAGAACAAAGCACTTTATCGTGGTCAGAAAGGTTAGTAGTTATTAAGACTGGAAAATTATTAATAATTATAAATCTGGATCCGAATCCATTACGCATGTCTGTAAAAACCATATGAAGGACGTGCCGTGTCTTGCCGTGTTTTCCGTGTCTTGCCGTGAAAGTGTCGCCTGTGCGTTTTGTATCTCTCACCATAATATCCAAGTTCTTTTTTATCCACTTGAAAAATCCCTGTTTGAATTTCAAGCAGGGAAAAACTTTGCCAAATATTTGTTGTGCTGCCCAATTAAACATTTTGAAACTACAATTCTTTAAACATGACCATTTCTAGTAACATGATTTACAAGGAACAACCTATGAACTGGAATAACTGTGGTACTGAGTGTAACTCTTGTAAATATGTAATTGTTTTAGATACAGCATTATAAGAAAGTTTAATAAGAAAGAAAGGATTTTTCGTGGTCGTGTCCGCAGCATGGTCCGCAGCCCGATATTCTACTGGGGGGTTCTATTGTGTGTCTTTCTCAACACTATCATCATGTCGACAGAACATTATGACCAGCCATATTGGCTCGAACAGATGCAAGGTAAGCTTTATGATACTATCATCTTGTATCAACCCCCCCCCCCCCAGTTATAACCCCCCTCCCGATTGTAAGCCCACCCATCTGACAATAGACCTTTTCTACCGGTTATAAGCCCCCTCCATTAATGGAGTTGTGCAGCCTCGTAGCACATTGGCAATCGAAATCCTTTCAGATCATAGTTTTTCTTTATTTTTCTGAGTTCATTCGCGATTCAAAAGCTTTTACATCTATTGTTGCATGAACACTTTTGGTGAATTGAAATTGACTAGATTCTAGTTTGTGCTTTTTTTTCTTCTATAGAACGGGTTCAGAGGGTTTTTCTACCCTTTCATCAGCCCTCCCCCTTCCGGTTATAAAACCATCCAAAACCCATGCTTACGAAGTTGTATAAGACCAGCCTGCCTTATGACCAGAACCCTAATGGGTACTATGTTGATATTAAGATTTGTCTTCCCATGCGTTCTGTAAACACTAAACCCATAAGATTCAGTAATAAATTGTCCATGTTGAAAGGTGGTACCTGATAATGCTCGTTCTTGTGTTCTTCACTATCCGCCATTTTGAAAGAATTTGACAATTTGTTGTATTTTMCATCTTGGCCGATGTTTCCTTTTTTCATTTCGGAAAATGGTTGGGAACCAAGAACATTTCATTTAAAGTGTCAAGCAACMAAGGATTAGTGTTTAGTGTTTTAATGAACTAACCGACACAAATTATWAAAGGAACGAAAGAGGTTGGTAGTCAAAGATGTGCACTCAAGCGTTACATTGTAAGCACTATGAGAAAAGGGTTGAAGATTTGAAAATGGAACTCGAGATACCATGATTTGAGCCTACCTGGGGTTGAGAATGTGATCAGGGCATTCATCTTTTGCTTCTCCAAAATCACGTATTTAGGAATTTAGAAAAATTCATTTAAGATTTGAAACTCATGAAAGGGATTATCATGGTTAAAAAGGTTAAAGGTTACAAATCATCGCCTTCTCGGGTACCATGGCCCAGCTTTGCTACCGAAGCTTCTTTTCTAAGGAAAAGTATTTTATTCTATCTAAGGAGTTTTCAATATTGTTTTTTCTCTCTTTCTCTCCCACTATAGTAATATCAGAAAGAGTTTTTCTTGGGCTTTTTGTTGCTGAAATGCTCCTCAAGCTGTATGGTCTGGCTCCAAGGAAYTATTTCGCGTCAGCGTTTAATAAATTTGATTTTATCGTAAGTACCATAATCAATTAAGAAATAGTTTTAATAAATCAATTTTTAAGCTGATAGACAGTTAATTCAKTKACAAGCCAATCATTSATTTATTATGTTTCATTCATTCATMCATTATCCAACCATTCTGTTATTCGTACTTTCATTCATTGCTCTAAATGCTGGGAAKGATATAAGTAACTCGACATAAATGCACTTAACTGACGTTTTAGATGTTTGTTTTAATCCGATAAACGACAACATTCAAAACATCYGTCAAATATACGTRCCTTAAGCTTCTTTATTGCACGGTCTTCCCTTTGCTTATATCATTCCCAGTAGATATATTCAAACTTTCTTAGTCGTAACCAGTTTTCTTTGATATTTCATTACTCTTGTCCTTCTAATGTTTATTTGTTTTARTTTTTAGGTTTAATAAGATTGCTGATTGAGTATAATTCCTTTGTTTGATTTTTCAGGTCGTTCAAGCCAGTATAATMGAATTATTTTTAGAAAAATATTTTAAGATAAACTACGGTAGCAGTGTTTTTCGCTCTCTTCGTCTTCTTAGGGTTTTCAAGTTCACAAGGTACATACGGTTTGAATACAAATAAATAGCTGTTTTTCAATCATTCCCTAAGACATAAAATTACAAAACCGAAAAAAAAAAGGCAAGAGCAAATCCGACTACGTAACATAACGAAAGAAACGAATGACAAAATGATTATTGACAAGCCAGAGAAAACTGTGAGACTGTCGACCTTATTTACCGGTTTTGGTCCGGGAAAACGCAGAGTATTTCAAACCTGTAGTTGTGAGAACCATGCTGCTTAAGCTGATGGCGCCAGGAAGACGTCACTTTATCTGCTTTAAGATAACTCAGTAATTCCCCCAGTCTCTAAGTAACAGAATCAAAATAGCTTTTATTTTATATTAGCATTTTCAAGAGATTTGAAGGAGATGAATAATAAGTAATATATATAATATGAGTGGCCGTTTTGTATCCGATATAGACCAAATTCAAAGCTCGCACCGATGTGAGGCTTAAGTTGTGAACAAAGGAATCTGGCGTGATTCGTGACTTTTGAATCACGCCAGATTACTTTGAGTCACGCCAGATCCCTTTGTTCACAACTTAAGCCTCACATCGGTGSGAGTTTTGAATTTGGTCTATGCAACCACGAGCCGAAGGCGAGTGATTGTATATCTGATACAACACGGACACGAATATTGTATATTACTTATGAAACGTCTAGGTGTATACATTCATGTTCTACTATAATTTTAAAGATAAATTTGAATTTGGCTAAGAAAATTGGATTTAAAGTTTATGCAAATCAGGACGATTTTGTATCAGATATACAACCTCCTCMACGGACAATGATTTTTATCGTGTTTTCCTCATTAATAATTCATGATTTTATAATTAGATTAAACAAATACTTGTATATATGTCCCGTGTATTTCTTTGTCGATTTTACTTCTACCCTTTATCGTTACCGTATGTGATGCTTGATTACAGCCATTTTTCATTTTACGGCAACTCGGTGTTTGGAGTTGCCCGTTGAAATGTGAAAACTACTATAAAGTGCATGTTTGGTACTTGAAACATTATACTGTAATGTGCTTATATTCTGAGCGGAGAAAGTGGGATTTGAACTAAAACCCGGCTATCCTTAAGCATCGTAGGGGTTACCAACAAAAATGGGGTGCAGCAAAATATAACCCAAGGCTTCAAGCAAAGAAGGCTAAATAACCTTTTGAWTATATATAATTATATATTCGTTTATTATTTTTCAGGGTGTGGTCATCCTTACGCAATCTAGTGACGTCTCTTCTCAAAAGCATGCGTTCGATTCTYAGCCTGATATTTCTACTTCTTCTGTTTATTTTCATTTTTGCATTGCTTGGRATGCAACTTTTTGGAGGAAAGTAAGTAGGAAAGTAACATAAAATTACAAAATAAAGCACACTTTTTCTTGGTGGCATTTGCGAAACTTCTTTTTCCATGGTAGCCTCGCATTCAAGACATTTTTAAGAAGGGTTCATTGGAATATAGCGTGTTGGCTATTGCGGAGAAAGAAAAACCATCGAATCGAGGGAAAGACCAAACAAACTCTACTTACATGTGAGACGGAGTTCATGGTTAATCGATACTCCTGCCGAAGACTGAACGCTTAAAGAACAACTGGGAAATGTAGCTTGATTGTTTTATTTCAATGGATTTTACCTCTAACATGGGGTTTGTCTTAAATASATCTCTGTAGGTTAGGATTGCTGTTTTTCCATGTTTCTCATGTTTTCGCTTATGCACGTCGTAATACACATTGTACACACAGCAATATATAAAGGAACAAGAAATGAAAACAGTCCCTTCACGAGCATGTCGCAGGGAATCGTCGTCGCGACAAAGTACATTTTGGTGGACGTTACTCGTGTCCTCTCTTTTGAAACGTCTCHAGTTGATAAGGGACGAGATCGCCATTTAAACGTGGTCATTCAAGCCACGTAAAGGCCTAATAATTTGCATTTGGTGCGGCCAAGGCTTGAACAATAGACTGACGATTCTACTGAGTTGATCGGGTAGCCGATTGAAAATGGTATTAATATCAGCGGGACCTTGTTAGCAAAGCATTTTAATAATAACTGATCCTGTTGTTTTCCATATCCCACTTTCAGGTTCAGCACACGTCTCGATGCTCCACGAACAAACTTCGATGATTTTATTAAAGCCATGTTAGCAGTTTTCCAGGTGAGAAAGCAATAAATTTAAGATAAGTATTATTAAAGCTAGTATATATGTTACATCACTATTGCCCGTGATGTATTTTAACATTACAGTGTTAAAATTCGAGCAAAATTCGGTCAAGATCGATTTGTTGTCTTAATTATATTTTGACGATCTCCAAATGCACAGGTTACTACCCAGAATACCGCTCGGTTTTAGCTTCAATGTTGCAAACTTTTCAACCCGACTAAAGTTTGTTTTAATTTGATGTAATATAAAAGTGAAGGAAAAAAATGTTTTTTGCAATAGCTTACAATGTTCTCTGGCGCTGAATGGTTATTTTTTATCACCAATAAGAGGACAGAACGCCGGAGCGCACGCTCTTTCCGTTGGTTGTTTTGATTACTAAAAACGAGAAGTTTTTTTTTATTATTTTAAAAAACAAATTGACATCATTTTTTATGTGTCTGTCCTCTTATTGACGATAAATTKCGTCATCACCTTGTCAATGTAGTATGCAAAGTAGTTGACAAGGTGATGACGCAATTGCAAGCAAAACATGTCATGGACAACTAAATAAGTAATTAGATTCAACTGAAATATTTTACAAATGGCGGATACYTCGCGCGTTCATCAGAGCGTGTGTTATACTTGATCTAACAAGTTCTAATAATGATTTCCCCCAAGATAATGACTGGAGAAGACTGGAATACTATCATGTATGATGGGATCGAGTCTGCTGGTGGACCAAAAAGTGTATGGGGAATCCTGGCCTCGCTATACTTTGTTGCTCTGGTTATCATTGGAGACTGTATCCTATACTTGTACAAAAATCACTACAAACCAATGACTWGTGAGCTTTCTATTACTCTATATCTTATATACTGACATAGTTCTACATAGCTTGCTTTGCTWAATATCTTTTTGTGATCTAGGTATTATTCTCCAAACAATCAATAGTTTAAAATCAATAATGAAAACAGTCACGTTATTTTTCGCTGCGTTATTTTAATCATTCTTTCATTCATTCATTTATGCATTCATCCGATTTATGCGATAAAAATACATTACTTCATAAATCAATAACACATCTTTATTATCTCTTAGCCGGTCATTCGTTCCAGCAATGCAACTCATTTCATTTAATTCATTTTTTCCCATATTCGTTCATTCATTTATTTCTTTTCTCGACTTGTTCCTTTCGTACACATATATATTCTGTCCCACATGATTTGCTTCAAGATATAATATATGACAGCCTGCTTCATCTAAGCTATTCACTGTTACATTGGTATCATAGTCGAAATATTAGTGATATTAGTCTAGTTTAYATTATTTCCTTTACTGGTATATCCAGATACACTTCTCAATGTTTTTCTTGCTATCGCTGTGGACAATCTCGCAAATGCTCAAGAYCTTACGCGGTTAGACGAAGAAGCCGATCGGCAACGCGAGCAAATGAAAAAGAAACGTCTAGAGAAACGACGAAATGGATGGGCAAAAGCTAAACAGTTACCAATGATCATGGCAATTACAAAAATCAATAACCATGGCAGTAATAACCCTTTCCCTAATTCTAAGCCTGTTTTTGGAATACAGCACAACTCCCCAAGGTCAGTGGATATACATCTATTCCATTCTCATCTTTCTTTCGATATCATGGTCCTCGACCCTCTAAAAAGTCTTATATTTGCTTCACTCTAGCAAAAAAATCATCGTAAAAGTGTCAATACAGGACACTYGTAAGTTTGATGGAGAAACCAAACTTGCTGCACGCATCATTTGCCTCCTCACGCCATTAATATTTCATTAATATACCTCAATCATCTAACGAGTTTCTTTTTACTATTGACGTATGCTTTTATGCATCTTGTTTTAGAAATGACAGATTAAGCAAAATGAGCGCTGTAAGAGTAAGTACAAAAAGTAATATTYATAAAACCCGTATTTTGATATTAACTAAAATTGATAAAAAAAGTATTGAAAAAGAGTAAAAATAAATTGCAGCGGCATTTTCTTTTTAGATAAAAATATCTGAAGATTCGCCATCTTTATCAAGTAAGAATGGACGAATATCACGTCAAAACACGACTGATAACGAGCGAGAAGATGACACAGAGGATCCAGGTATTACTTTAGGCTATGTATATACAGTCCTTTGACTAAACGTCATCCTTTTCGGTCTAGGCGCGTAGGGATGAAGCCGATCAAACGACAACGTTTAGTCAAAGGACTGTATGTCTTCCATTTCATACGTCTGCTCAGGCTTTTTTTAATAGATTACCGAAGTGTTATGTCCCAACTATTGCAATTCAGCTTTTAAAAATGTTCATATTTGAAGGTAGCGATTCATTG